GGAAAATAAAAAAGAAGCAAAGAGACATTTTTAACCCCCAAAGATCTTGCACTGTATCTGGGGCACACAGGAAGGCCCTTTCTTCTAGCCAAGTGGGATATGGGAAGCTTTGGATAGAGGGTTTGCAAAGGTGAAGTATTCACATTAAGTGCTGCTACTACGTCATATGTGTGGCTAGATTGCCTAGGAGAACAATAGTATGTCTTCTTATTAGTCATTGGGGTAACAAATGGCATGTTTAGCAGAACAAAACTGGGGTAGGGGGATATCTGAGGGTCTTAGTGGACTAAAAGATCAGTATTAATAAGCACTGTAACGAAGCAGTCACAATTCTAATGCTAATGAGAACGTAATCTGCACTGATGTTTAGTGTGGGGAACATGAGAAGCAACAATCCTGAGACCATAGCTAAAGTGTTGTATTCCCTTCTGGAGACTACATTTTAGAAAGCATATTGATAGAGTCAAGTGCCTGCCAATAAGGCCAGGAAGTTGAGAGCATATAAAGACTGGCTGAAGGGACTGTGGATGTTTTGCAAGGAGGATAGGAGACAGGGAAAACTTAAACTGTTTAAAGGATTGTCCTGTTGAAAAGAAAGTAGATTTATTTTGCTTGATCCTCAGATGAGAAAACTAAGTCCAATGGGTAGAAGTTGGAGTGGCAGATTTCAGCTAGATACAGATGGATAGAGAGGGTGTGGACCAAAAGACCTCTTAGAAGTGAGTACTCCCTCCAGTGATGCATATAGCAACCCCTCCATGCCTGCCCTTCCTGTATGACTCTTGTCAGGATCCTCCCATCAATTTGCCAAAGGTATTCCACCTGATGTACTTGGGCTTTCTTCTTGTTCTCTTGACGTAACATAGATTCTAGTGGAACACACGAGCTCTCTATTGCTTGCTTTCCCCTCATTCTCACTATGTGATTAGTCATTTTTTCCCAGCCATGCATTTCTCTGATGGCATCCTTTATTCTATTTCTCCTGCATAATTCCTTCTCAGTAAGGTGTTTTAGCCAGCATAGGTCCAACGTATACCTTGTCATTGCCCTTTGAGTGATCTTCAATGTTACTTCTTTGGAGGCAGTAGTATCTACGGCTTGTTGCCATGTGATATTATCCAAATATTGGTGTTCAGGACATGGGCCATTGTTACAGAGAGAAATTTGAGGTCATTGAAAGAACCATGCAATTTTCCAAAGGCAATTCGGCCTGCTGCCCTTCTTTTGTCCAATTCAGTAGTCGGTACATTATCCATTTACAGTGTCTGTCCATGAGATATTTACTGATAGATGACTTCTATGGTTTCTCGGTCCAACTGTATATCATAATTTGGACAATAGCCATTCTTCATTCACATATTTATTTTTCCTGAGTGATAGTTAGGCTGCTGTCTTTGGAGTAATCATGGATCTCATTTAGGAGGCTCTGCAGTGTTCAGAGGCTTGATGTAATCAGTACAATGCTATTCACAAGCAGGAGCATCTGGAGGAAGAATCCCTTTCATTTGAACTCTATTGTGCATATCCTCAGTGACAGTGGCAAATATCTTTGGCAAGCATATCTCTTGCCTGATAATTATAACCAGAGGGTCAATGAACAAAGTTATTTCTGTTGTCACCTTATTCAAGGAATCTTGAATGGCATATATGCATGGGAGACATCTTGTTGGAAGAGGGCCTTTAAGATAGTGTTTTGTTCTATCAAAAAGTGCTTTTTTCATAACAACAAAAACAGTGGAATCTTATTCTCTATACCTTTCAATCAGTTGTGTGATGAAAGATATGACTTGATGTAGAATGTCATTTGAGAAAACCTGTCTATTTCCTTCTATCTGGGTCACTGCTCTGCAACTGGTACAATATATTCAAATATTTCTGGGAAAAAGCAGTTCTCTAAGTGACTAAAAGCAGTACAGAGGATAAAAGCAGATAAAAGCTGCCAGCAAGAAGGTTAAAAGTAGTCAGCAAAGAGGTTTCCTGGGGATTCAGAAGCTCTTTTCCAAAGTCCTAAAAACTGCTTTTATGTCCATAGGGCTCATAACTGGGTCTCAGATCAACCCATCTTGGGGCAAAGTTAACCCGAACCTGCCCAGTTCTGCACCACTACTTATTGCTCAAAATGGTGTTGTGGGAGTATAAGGATTGTACTTACGCCTCTCCAGATCTACCGGTGTGTTATGGACCATAACATATTCTCATATTCTCCTCAAGGATACTCCCAATGTATGTATGTATGTTACTCTTATAAGAAAACTTTGTACAAATGGGGCTAGGCAGACAGGTCAGTAATCACTGATATTTTCCATTGCCTCTTGTTGTTATTATAACAAGGTCCAAGTTGTTCCTCCCCCCCCCCCCCCCGTGCTTTTGGCATCTTCTTCAGAGGCCTTGAGAATTAATCCTTCGGTTCTCCTAGATTTGTGTCGCTCCTAATCTGACGTCCGTGTGCATACTTTTATTTTCATCCAGCTTTTGCCATATACGCTTTCTTCAGGGCCGCTTCTTCTTTCTCATGCAACAGCATATTTGTGACCAAATGTGGTGGCTCTGCTGTCCTTGATGATGAAAGTTTATTGTGAAAATCCTTATAAACATTTTTCATTTTCATTTGTTTATTGGCCTTTCGCTGGCTTTATCCTTGAATAATGTTGCTCGTAATAAGGAACATATTCCTAAAATTTAGAGTTGTCTAAAAGTAAGACACATAAGGTGGATAGAGTGCTGGGCCTGGAGTCAGGAAGACTCATCTTCCTGAGTTCAAATCCGCCTCAGATACTTACTAGCTATATGACCCTGGATAAGTCACTTGCCCCTGTTTGCCTCAGTTTACTTATCTGTAAAATGAGCCAGAGAAGGAAATGGCAAACCACTCCACTATCTTTGCCAAGAAAACCTCAAAGGGGTCACAAAGAGTTGGACACGACAATGAGGTCCTCTCAGTGGAGGCCTCCTGTAAAGGATGTTGTGGCAAGAATTCCTGCTTTAGGCATGTATTGGACTAGATGCACCTTTTCAATTCAGAGATTCTGTGATTCTGAGGCTTTTAAGGAGGAGTAGCAATGATCTGCCATATAGCCTTGGATGTGGAAATTGGCATAGCCTGCCTTGTTGAAATCTAACTCTGCCCATGGGGTATTCTTAGTTTGTACCCTTCATATCCTGTAGCCATCGTAGGTCTTCCAGTGTGCTGTAGAATTGTGTTTCTACAATAAAATGGGGTTTTTTTTTTGGCCTGGTTTGTCTTTGAAAACCTAGAGAAATCCTGTGTGGTAGATTAGTTCTGAATCTCTTTTAGGAATTCCAATCACATGGGAAAGGATTTTGGAGGCTAGAATTGAGTTACATTCCCTTAATTCAGTCCTGCCTAACCGCCTATATAGATCCTCTAAGTGAACTGGCAGCTCAAGGTAGCTTTGAAACTGACCTACCCATCCCAGCAGCTTCAAGCTTATTTGATTATATAAAAGAAACATACTAAGAGGAAAGGACTTAAAGTGAATTGAAATTCATCTATTCTTCAATTAAATGAAAATTCTGAAGGCCACCAGAGAGTATTATACTAGAGTCCGGTAGGCATGTTAATTCTGTATTCCGAAGAGAATTGCAAAAAGGCTTAATTTGATTAAGAACGTGTAGTAATTGTAGAATTGATTAAAGTAAAGCATTATAGATCTGCCTAGCATAAAATGCAAATATGACAGCAGAGTGAGGACAATTATATCTCAAGTAGCTTTCTTATAAAATTAAGGCATGGGTTCTGTTACAAAGCCATTTGAATTGGCTGATAGTATAGTTACAGAGAGCTAGAATGGCATAGTGGATAGAGCTGGCCTCAGAGTTAGGACGTTTGGGCTTCAAGTCTTGCTTTTTACACATACTGGCTCTGTGATTCTGGGTAAGTCACTAATGGCCATTGTCTCAGGCAATTCTCAGGGACTATCAGTCCCAGAGAAGGTGCTTATATGCATTGGCAGAGGGAGATCCCTCACTGGGAGTTCCCCATACTGATGAAACCACAGGTCTAGTTCCTTACTACTCCTCTTTTTTTTTTTTTTGCGAGGCAATGGGGTGAAGTGACTTTCCCAGGGTCACACAACTAGTAAGTGTCAAGTGTCTGAGGCTAGATTTGAACTCAGGTCTTCCTGAATCCAGGGCCGGTACCCTAATCACTGCACCATCTAGCTGCCCCCTTACTACCCCAATGAAAACAAACAAACAAACCAGCTGTATTAGTCTCATAAATCACCAAGTATTTAGTGGCTGTTGCTTTGATAATAAGATAGAATTTTGAAATTTGGATAAACTGGCATTTTATTATTGGTCACATATACAATAGGAATTTATAAGCAGGAACATAATTTAGGTCATGGATTGGAAAAGGGACAATCAGAGATTGAGGGAGCAAAGAAATGTAGAAGTACAAAGAAAATTTAGGAGATCAGAAAATACAAGGGGCAATAAACCCTAGGGAACATAAATGTGCTGAGCTATACCTGAACAGCTTACTCCAAAGTATATATATGCCCTATACAATACAATAGTCCATTTCCCCAAGTTGTTCATAAATGCCCCCCAATTATAGATACACCATACATGGCATGGCATGATAATATCTATCTATCCATCATCATCATCATCATCATCATCATCATCATCATCATCATCATCATCATCTTTTCAGAGAAGTTTTGACCATTCCCTATGAAGAGACAGCTTAGAAAGAAACATTAAAGACAACTGTGATATGTTGGCTGAATTTCTTTTGAAATTTTCAAGCTTTCTCCTCACCGTGCAAGTCTCATTGGCCATTTGAAAGTACCCTACACAATAATTTATTGGCTAGTTCCATGTTCATGATTATTTTAGGTCCCTCTTAGTTCTATGATACCAGAAACTGACTGCGGTAAAAGCTTAACTTTCTCGGTCTTTGATAATGAGCATAAAAGGGAACAAGAGATTACTGTGGAGGTAAATAATGGATTTTAATAAATGCTTCATACCTTTCTTTGTTTGGTTTAATATTGATGTCACCAATGATGTGGATGTCTGCAAATTTTATCCTAAATTTGCTCAAAAGTGAAGCCATCCTAAAACATAAGAAAGAACATTTCATCACTACATATTTAACTACTCTCAATCAAACAATATTTGTATTTGAGTTAAGATATCAAAGCAATTATGTTTCATTTCAACTTCGCTTCTCAGGCAAGCTAATTTATCTAAAAGATTTTAGTTAGTGTTTGATTTTCATTATAACGCTTGATGGAGATATTAAATTTGGGCTCAAATTGTTTCATCAAAGCCCCAAGAAAAAGTTATATAGGTATAAAAACCAGACCTAGAAAATGGGACTAGAAATGTACATTTAAGGAAGAACAGTGATAATTTGTTCACATTTCTTTCAACTTGGACTTTTTGATAGATCTTTGATTTCATCAATGTGCATCCTCCTTCCACTTGTACATATTACAGTCCTTCTATAACTTTTCATTCTGTGCAAAAAAAAATATTGTCCACATCTATACAAATCTCCCAGAGAAAATCTGCTCAACACACTAAAGCCTTTCTTTGATGCTTTTAGTAGTCAGTAAACACCAGTGGAAAGCTCTGATTATCTATCTATTATTCATCACTTTGCTACATGATGGGGCGTACCCCATTTTCTGGATACTCTTGATGATGCTTTTTATGTCAATTTTTGCATGTAAGTCAACATTGGTATTGTACTGTAGTCTACTTATGCCTAATATGCCTTTATCACCTGAAATTTCAATTCTTCTAAGATTATGGTGCTTCATGATTATCAGGTATATGGCACCACTAGGAGAATAATAGTGAAAATCATAAATGTGCACACCTCCACCTTTTTAAGGATATACTTACTCAGTTGCAATACCAAGACCTGAAGGTTAGTTATTGAATTAGTCAGTTGCATCTATAAAACTGAAATCATCACTTGTATTTTCTCTTCTATCAAGCAAATGTGGGTATAACTTTAGGAGTCTCTTTCTTTTGAATAGTTAATTAGATAAAACCAAATAAACATTAAAGAAAGTAATGATATTCCCATTCAAGCCTGAAAATGCGCCAACACTGGAGAGGGTATTGTTTTAAAAGCATTTAAATCTTCTAGTTGCGGGAGTATGGTGATTAAAAAAACAAAGCTGATGTATTCACCAGTTGCCTAGAATAGTGAATTATGGGAAAGAAAATAAATCTGAACTCTGTCAGAATGGCTTTATTTTTATTTCAGTTGTACCCGAAAGGTTCTTAGAGATTTTAATAGGAGCTGTTAAATAGTATTAACCATAAGCCACATACATATTTTAAATGACAGAAATTGCCAATACATACGCTATTTTTTCTTCTTCAATACGGTTTATCTTGCCTCCAACATAAATCCTTAATTTGCAGTCTTTCCATTTTTTCCTGAGAGTCAGGATATAGGGGATTAGGAGTGTTAACCCTGGAGGGGAAAAAGTTTATTATGACTCTGTAAGATGAATGAATGTGTGTAAGTGATAGAGAACATTTCAATTTCTTTATTCAGTCCTATATTTATAGTGCCTAATTTTTTTTTAACTCTTTGGAAATTTCATACCTCATTTGTTAACGTTATATGTTTCCCATACATTATGCTAAATTTTGTCAATAGAGAAATCCTGCTCCCTGCAGTACTTTTTAGCATCACTTACCTCCGTCATCAAACAACCACCAAACATCAATGGTGCCTTTGCCTTGCTTCTTTTTAAACTGAGTGCTGGCTTCCACCAGTCTCTGATTGAACTCCCCCACGTGCATTGACTGGATTGTGTTAATGCCAGTATCTGAAATGAAAAAAGAAAAATTTGAAAATGGTAACAAAGTAACTTTCCAATAAATCAGTTGAGTAAAACAGAAGGCGTCTAATGATTTTTTTCCCCCTTATGGTGGGAAGAGTTAAATTTTGAAAAACTGAGTAGATAAATAATGGATTCCATTTTCTCTCTTTTTCTCTATTTGCATAATAATTAATATCACTTTTTACTTTTAAATGAAGATTTAAGACTGGCCTAAGAATTATAAATTTTGTTATTGGAGATCTTTGTGTGTTTTTTAGTCCTTGATCCTCTGCCTCAAAGAGGAATTGTGTTTTAGTCATGTGGCAATTCTAATAACATGACAAATTTATATTTAGTAGTTTAGAAACCCTAAACAACCACAAAACCCCCAAGACAATTTCCAAATTTCAGATGTAAATTTGTTTGAGAATTCTAATCTTTCCGATTTACCTAAAAATAAAAAATATTGTTACAGAGGTCCTTAAATATGTCATATATGGCAATATATTTAGAATTTTATAGTTACAGAATATATAAATGTTTTCTATATCACTTGAAAATCTGGTTTTACAAAATTCTCCAGGACCCATCTACCATCTTGGCTTTATGCCTCCTCCCCTGCTTTTGAAGGTCCTGTTATCTTCATTCCCTAAGAGTAGTTTTCACCCCCCTCTCCTTAAGGAATGTAATAATATATATCTAAATTAGAATTGCATAGGTTTTAAAGAAACAAAAAAATTCACAGTATAAAATTTCAAAATAAAAGCAACTTTTGCATATATGAGGAACTCCATTATTGAGGCCTGTGAGAGCCAATTGGACAGATGCTGGTTATTTATGGGATGTTTGAGGGTGCTTTAGAACTGATATTTCCCTCCTTAATATCTACTTTTAAAGATCTCTACCTTTGAAGTTCAGCTTAAGCTCCACCTTCTACAGCAAACCCTTGTCTGATCCCTGCCCACCTACTATTGACTTCCTCTCCTCAAAAATTATCTTGTATTTATTTTGTTTATATTTATAAAAGTACATGTTAGGCATGCGTTGAGCATATGCCAGCAAACAAACTATGGAGGAGCATTCCCATTGGCCTTTCTCCTATGCAAGTTACTTGCCTCAACAGAAGGTAAGCTTCTTGAGGGTGGAGATTGTTTTATTTTTCTTTGTATTCCTATCCTTCACACATAGAAAATGCTTTTAATAAATATTTGCCGATTGATTTAACTCTAGTTTGCAGTTTGTAAGCAACTGAAAAAAAAATAAAATCTTTCCCCAAACTAGAAACCTTTAATTTATAAAGCTATAAGCTAAGCTTCTAGGGGCACCTGTGAAATAGGTTTCTTTAGCTTTGCATCATACCTTCCTTCATCATTATGATTCTTTCATGTCTCTCAAAGAACATAAAAGAAAAATAGGTACTGAAACCAGTTTATTGAAGCAATTACTCTCATATTCTAACGACTTTTCTCCCACTGACTTCTCAGTAAAATAATTTTTTTAAAAACACGAAAATGCCAATTTTTCATTAAGTTTAAAAATCTTTCAAAAACCTAACAAAACTAGGCAAACTTTATTATTTTTTAAAAACTAATTAAACCTTAACTTTGGCAGTGAAACTGCTAACAAGGAGTTAATAGCGGTTAAGTGTCTTCAGCCCATGTGCAAATAGGCACTTGATCACAGTGGACCTTAACCTGTATATAACTTCATATTCTAGTTTTCTTTGAATGTTATGGCTTTGTTATTACATTTTAAAAAAATTGTTGAGGCGGTATTTAAAGTAGAGCTGACAACCTTCTTTGAGGTTTCTCTCTGATCTAACAAGTTCCAAAGATTCTTTGTACTATCTTTCAGTATTGCAATATTTTGGGATTGAGAATTCTAAAACAATTATCTGCTTCTATCCAGTTTTAATTTCCCTAGTCTTGATTGGACCCATGAGAGAGAAGGAACATTTATAAACAAAATAGTGTGAGGCTTGCTTTCAGAGTCAAGGAACAATACTGAATGTTTAAATTACTAAACAAAATACACACTCACACACACACACACACACACACACACACATGGTTTATATATAGAGCTCTTCACACAATGATTGGATAACCACTTGTACAGTGATATATGTATTTAGAATTCTCTTACAGAATCCTGGGTTTGACTAGATCAGGAGGTTATAAACTTTTTTGGTGTTACAGACTCCTTGGGCAGTCTAACAAAGACTATGGATTTCTTAGAATAATGTTTTTAAATAATGGAAGGAAATACTACATTTTAACTAGAGGTTGTGAGAATGAAGATGTAACTTTTTTTCCCATCCAAGGTCGCAGATCCTTGAAATCTATCCACTGACCCCAGGTTAAGAACCTCTGGATTTAGATGGTCAAAGTCTCTTCCAACTCTGAAATTCTATGATATTGTGAAACTCTGGCTTTACTTTCATGCAAATCTGTTACTGTCCAGGGAATGTGCATATGAATAACTGAGGGAAGATTTAGCCTAGATCTTATGGCCCAGAAGAGCTACCAAACAACCAAAACAAATAATAGTACATGTTTGACATGCTAAGTATTATTTGGAGGATATGACATTACATGCCCTTTTTTCAATTTTAATTTTGTTTTGCCTTTCTGGATCATGTGACAGCCTGAGTTTTAGAGAAGGATACATATTTGCTAAAGCAATATATAAAAGGAAAAAAATCTCCCATGATAATATGGCTTCTTTTCATTGTTTTACTGACTGGGAGAGAAATGCACCCAGGAAAAAATCAGTGAGGTACAATGGAAGTGATATCAGACTTGAGAGTCATGAACCCTGGATTCTTGTTCTAACCTGGCCACTAACTAGTATGAATTCAGGCAAGTTAACCTCTTTGGATCTCAATTTCCTTATCTGTAAAATGAGGTCATTGAAAGATTGGGAGCCCAGCTTTAAAAACTCAGTCATTCTAGTGCCTGGCTTTCTAAATTTCCATCACATTTGAAGACAGAGATGCATAAGATCAGATTTGCTTTGTGATTAAATACATCCCCCTCACTAGAATGGAAGCTCTTTGAGGGCAAGGACTGTTGATATCCCCAGTACCTACCCTAGTACCTAGCACATAATAGGTGCTTGATTAATGGATTTCCTTGAATTAAACTGAAGTCTTTGTAAAGGAAAGAGGAAGCCATTTAGTATTTGAAGAATCAGTGTGATGTAGTGGAAAGAACACTTGGTTCCATTCCTGGTCTGCCTCTTACAACCAGTATGACTTGGGGCGATTCTTTGAACCTCTGTTTCCTTATCTGTTGGCACCTCAGTTCAGTGTTATAGGGTTGAAAGGTAGCTTAGCTTTGGAAAGTGTTAGACAAATGTGAATTGCTATTATTATCCACGTGGTAGGGACTTTTCTTTCCTTCCTTCTTAATTTATGCCATCTACCCAGTCAAATAGTCTGATAGAATCATAGATATAATAATAATAATAGTCATTAATATAGCACTTTAGGGTTTCCAAAGTGCTTTACTAAGATTGTCTTACTTTATCCTACCAACTACTCTGGGAGGTAGGTGCTATTATTATCTTCATTTTACATTTGAAGAAACTGAGTCAGGGTTGCATAGCTAGTAAGTGTCTGAGGTAAAATTTGAAGTCAGGATTTCTTTTTTTTTGGCTAGGCAATGGGGTTAAGTGACTTGCCCAGGGTCACACAGCTAGTAAATGTTATGTGTCTGAGGCTAGATTTGAACTTAGGTCCTCCTAACTCCAGGGCTGGTGCTCTATCCACTGCACCACCTAGCTGCCCCCCAAGTCAGGACTTCTTGATTCTAGGTCTTGTCCTCTAAGGAGCCTAAGAGGTCATCTATTCCAATCCCTCAATTTTATAGATAAGGAAACTGAAGCTCAGACTTGTGTAAGGTCACATACTTATATTGACAGATCCAGGATCCAAACACAAGTTCTCTGACTCAAAATCCAGTGCTTTTCCCACTGCCCTCTTTATTTAGACTCCCCTGTCTTTGTCTCCAACAACCAAGCAAATGTAAAGTCCTGTCAATTTTTTTTCTCTTCAGTATTTTCAATACTGTTCCTTTCCATTCCCACAGCCACCACCACCTTGTCACTTTTTGTCTGCCACTGGTCATCTTGGGTCCAACCTTTCTAATCTAAGTTTCACACAGCTCCTCAGGTAAACTTAATTTCACTCTCTGATAACATCATTCTATTAAAAGAACCTATGGTGGCTTTCCATTCCCCACTAAACAAAATGCAAACTCCTACCTTGGCATTCAATGCCCTATAAAATCTGACTCCAGCCTCCCACCTTTCTTCAGACTTTGTCACAGTGCATAAGCTAGTTCTTTTTTTCCCCTATGCCCCCAACTTCTGTTGGTGAGTTCCATCCAGAATCTCCATTTTGAAGAAGGGCCAGACAAAGCCCTTTTTCAAAATTACCCTTTATTCTATGGATTTTGCCACTATCCACCCACTTGGATGCCTCCACCCTGACTTTCAGCTCCCTTTTAGGTGCAGCCTTTCCCCATTAGAATGTAAGTTCCTTGAAGGCAAGGATGGGCATTCGTTCCACTTGTATTTGTTTCCTTGATATTTAGTAAGATATCTGTCACATACTGAATTGATATGACTTGACTTCCTAGCCTAGTTCATTGTGCTACTCTTTGTACAATACTTTACAGACAAACTGGCTTCCTCATTATCCCCCTATGGACATACTGTCCTCTGTTGTCTCTGATTCACCATCTCCCATATCTGAAATTAAGACTGTCCCCCATTTTTGTTTGTTTAATTGAACAAGTATTTATTGAGTACTTACTGTGTTGAAGGCATTATGCTGGATTATGGGGTTACAAAATCAAAAGCAAAAATTTACCTTCTCTCAGCAAGCTATCATTTGTACTGCTAAAATTTCTCCCTTCCTTCAAGATGCTACCTGGGTGCCACTTTTTTCTTTTTAAAATTATTATTTATTTATTTTTAACATTTAAAAAATTGTATTCTAAATTCTCATCCTCCTTTTCACCATTCCCTCACCCATTGAGAAGGCAATCAATATAATATTATATATGTGACATAAAACATATTCCCATATTAGCCACATCATGCCAAAAGTAGCAAGAAAAATAAAGAAAGTGAGAAAACTACACTTCACTTTGTACACAGAATTAGTTCTTTCTCTGGAGGTGTATAGCATTTTTCATCATGAGTCCTTTGGAATTTTCTTGGCTCATTGTACTGATCATAGTAGCTAAGTCTTTCATAGTTGATCATCATTACAATGTTACTGGTACTGTGTACAATGATCTCCTGATTCTGTTCACTTCACTTTGCATCAGTTCATATAGCTCTTCCTATGTTTTTCTGAAGCCATCTCCCTTGTCATTTCTTAAAGCACAATAGTATTTCATCACAACCCAGGCCACAACTTGTTCAGCCATTCCACAATTGATGGGTATCCCATCAGTGTCTAATTCTTTGCTACCACAAAAAGAGTTGTGTTAGAAATATTTTTGTATGTATAAATCCTTTCCTTCTTTCTTCGATCTCTTTGAGGCACAGCCCTAATATTGGTATTGCTGGGCCAAAGGTTGTGCATAGTTTTATGGACCTTTAAGCATAGTTCCAAATTGTTCTGTAGAATGGTTGGATCAGTGCACAACTCCACCAATAATTCATTAGTGTACCTTTTTCCTCCTTGTCCCTTCTAGCATTTGTCATTTCTGACAGGTATGAGATGGTACCTCAGAGTTCTTTTAATTAGCATTTTTCCAATCAACAGTGATTTAGATAATTTTTTTTATATGACTATAGAGAGCTTTGATATTTTCTTCTGAAAACTGCTTGTTCATAACCCTTGCCAATTTATCAGTTGGGGAATGGTTCTTCTTTTTTATAAAATTGACTCAGTTACCTATATATTTAAGGAAAGAGACCTTTATTAGAGAAACTTGCTGTACTTTTTTATATTATCTATAACACCTTTTATTGAAATGTGGTTTCTCTGATTATCTCCTTTAATTAGATCTATTTTTGCTTTTACTTTGTCTGATATCATGATTGCTACCCCTGCCTTTTATAAGTCAACTGAAGCGTAATAGATTTTGCTCCATCTCCTTATTTGGACTCTTTGTGTATGTCTTTCTGTTTAAAGTGTGTCTCTTATAAACAACATATTGTTAGATTCTGGTTTCTAATTCATTCTGCTATCTACTTCTGTTTTATGAGTGAGCTTATCCCATTCACATTCATAGTTATGATTACTAACTGTGTTTCCTTTCATCTCATTTTCTCTTATCTTTCTCTCTTTTTTTTTTATGCTGTCCCCCCTCAAAAGCCTATTTTGCTTCTGACCACTACTTTCCTTAATCTGCCTTCCCATTTATCAGTCCCCCTCCCCATTTCTCTTATTCCCTTCCTCTCCTATTTACCTATTGACTAAGATAGATTTCTACACCCAACTGCCAACTGAGGGTGTGTGTGTGTATGTGTATATACATATATACATATACATATACATATATATATACACACACACACACACACACACACACACACACATATATACACACACGTGTGTGTGTGTGTATACATTCTACTTTCTTTGAACCAATTCTGATGAGACTGAGGTTCAAGCATTGCCAGTCCTCCCATTTTCTCCTCCATTGTAAAAGGTCTTCCTTCCATTCCTCTTTTGTGTGAGATAATTTTCCCCATTCTAGCTCTTCTTTTCCCCTTTTCCCAGTGCATCCCTTTTTCTCTTGCATCACTCTCATTTCTTTTCCAATTTTTTCCCTTTATCACTCTTATTGCTTTGTTTAACTCTTTTAGGAATTCTTGTTAGGCTTTTGTCCAATCAGAATTTTTCTTCAAGGCTTTGTTCATAGCTGTTTTCTCATTGTTATCTTCTTTTTAGTTTGTGTTTTGGTCTGAAGCTTGGGACAGTGCCTCCCTACCGCTAGGTGAATAGAGCCCAACTTTAACATAAAGTTCAAAGTTAAGAAATAGACTGGGGAAATGATCAAACAATTAAAAAAAAAACTTGTCCATAAAAAGCTCCTACAGTAGCAAGGAAGACCAAGACACAAAGGGTGTTATTTTAAAGTTGTTTGGAGGGAAATGTTGGGAGAGTTTGGCTGAGTTGCTGCCTTTAATCTACCATCTTCAGGTGCCACTTTTTAAAATAAAGCCTTCCCTGATCCTTCTAGATGGAAGAAATATATTCTTTACTTTCACCAAATGTAAGTCTTATTTCCCTCCCTTCCCGCCACTCCCACCATTGAAGGCAGACACTGTGCTTTTTCTTCTTTGTATCTCTAATGGCTAGACCAATGTCTTGATCATAGTAAGTGCTGAGTAAATGTTGGTTGAATTGAATCGAAATTGATATATCAGACAATATATATGTATATATATGTATATATATATATATATATATATATATATATATAGTATAAGATAATAATCTCACCATTTGAAAAAATTGTGGTACCTTTATAAATATTTAACTTAAAAATAATGACCGGGTCTTCTTGGATAGCCAAATATTAGGGTGTATGGGAGGGACAGAAACCAGCAAATGATTGGTGTCTATATAACCCAGCTGGTTTTCCAGAGACCAATAGCTTTAAGGATCCTTTTTGGGTTCTTTTTTTTGGTAGTTAAAAGAACTGTTTTTAGCAGCTCCAAACTTGTCCTGTGATTGGGTAAGAAAGGCTTATGCCAAATTCAAAGACTTCACACCATAACTGTAGTAGAATATATACACACACACACACACATATACATATAATATATATATATGTATAATACATATTATGTAGTAGAATATCTACATATATAGATCTATCTATCTATCTATCCATCTTTTAAAATGCTGTTCAATTAGGTGATTACTCTAGAACTCTAAACTTCTGAGTATTTCAGGTGGAAAGGAATATTGGAACATAGAACACTGATGAAATCCCAATTTTTAAATTCTGGTCTGATTCTGGAGATATCTAGAGAGATATTATCTTTTCCTGACTAAATTAAAACCAGCAAATGGTTGACATATACATTTAGCACCACCACTACCCCCAACTATGTTCAAAAAGTTTCCCTAGTTGTCTTAAAGAAATACATGTTAAAGCTTTCACATTTTTGTACCAGCAGGGGTCACTACAAACCTTTCCAAACTTCTCAGCTATGTTTATGGAGAACTAGTACAAAGGATGCACCATGCTAATCTTTCTTTTTATAAGATGGCTGCAGGTTTATTGAGTCATGTGCTGTTAATCCAAGACTACCAAGACTAATTTTAATTTATTTAATAATTTAAAAGTAAATGTAGATGTAATTTTTCCAGGGTTCTGTTGCTGTGATTTCATTGCCCTATTACCATAAGAGAGGCAATGTGGTATAGTAGCTAGAGAGATAGCCTCAGAGTCAGGAAGAACTGGGTTCAAGTCCGACACATACCAGCTACAATGACTGTGGCCACGTCATCGAACAAGTCAGTGCTGTAACACAGTAAGTTTCAGGGCTGGTTCCAATTTGACAGTAGGAAGGGGAGTTTTTTCACTGAGAGTTCTATATATCAATAAAAATCACAAGTCTAGTGAAAATCTTATTATACATAGAAGTGAATTAACATCTTTAATAATAAATACCTATGATGTCATGGTTAGAGTCCAAGGGGTTCTTTGAAATGAGGAGGATAGGGCTTTATGGATTGTTGGGCCTTCATTTCCCTAGTCCCTCATAATTGATCAGCGATGGAGAGCAGATAGGTCAGGTTCTCTGACTCAAAATCCCAGTGCTTTTTGGACAACAACATGCTGAGTCCCTGTTCTTTTATATTCTTAAATTTCTCTTCCCTCTCCACCTTCATCTTTCTCTGCCAATCGATCCTCCTTCACTTCACATCCCTAAGCCTTCTCAGGCAGTGGTGCAGTGTGAGAGAGGGAGTCTTGATTCGGAGTCAGGAGACCTGGTTTTAATCCCACTTCAGCTAAGAATTTAGCTACGTTAACCTTGGGCAAATCACTTTACCTCTGAGTGGTTTGGCCTTCATACCTTCCCATTACCTCTCTCAGGCCCCTTCCAGTTTTGATAGTCTATGAATCACTGTGAACTCAGGTGTCTGGATCTCAAACTAAATCATCTCTTTATTATGTAAAGTCCCTGAAGGGACTTACATCTAAATCCTCACCCTATTCTCTATGGAGACCATCAGTCTCCAGATTTCTCAGACCTATTTTCCTCTTTATACCCTTGATCCTCCTGCTGGCCCCTGATCCTTCTGATCCTGTCTCATCTTCCAGTCATCCTCCCTGCACATAGAGGTCAGCAAAAACTTGCACATGGCCTGATTTTTGAAATTCAGCTAAAAGATTGGAATAGTTTAGCAGTGAAAATGTTATCCTTTTTTGGGTAAGGGGAAGGGGAGATTTTGAAGCTTACCTTTTTTGGGAACTTGCTTGGTGATATTCAATTTTCCAGCCTTTTTGAACAGTCCCCGGATACCTCTACTTCCTTCTTCACTCTCATTATCTTTAATCGTGGCTTCTAATGCCAATCTCTCTTGTTCTAATTTTTCTAATTCCTCTGTTAAAAGAAAACAAAGCCAGTAACAAATTACCCACTTGTTTAGCTCAGAATCAAAGAGTTTGCGGTGATAGTTTTATGAAATCCATGCAAATGAGGTAGATTTATGTTTTTCTCTCACTCACTTTCTGTATATATGTGCGTGTATGTATGTGTGCATGTATATATGTATATATATATGTACATTATATATATATATATATATATATATATATATATATATATATATATGTGAGTACATGTATTATATGTGTGTATACTTCTACATCTCCTGTGATCAGCAGGATGGCACAGTGTTAGCCCTGGAGTCAGGAAGACTCATCTTCCTAGTTCAAATCTGGCCTTAGACACTAGCTGTGTGACTCTGGGCAGATCACTTAACCTTCTTTGCCTTAGTTTCCTCATCTGTAAAATGAGTTAGAGAAGGAAATGGCAAACAGCTACAGTATCTCTGCCAAGAAAACCCCAAAGTGGGGTCAAAAAGAGTTGGACATGACTGAAAAATTACTGAAAATACCCATGATCAAACAATTATTATGTGTCAGAGGCAGAAATTGAATCCAAGTCTTCCTGACTTCAAGGGCTCTATTCAGTGAACTATACTACCTTTCATACGTGTGTGTATGTATATATGTATATATGCTGTCTGTTTATGTATATATACATACACATGTAACTATCAATATATATGTGTGCATGCTTACATATGTGTGTATATATCTGTGCATATATACATGTGTGTTATATATTTGCATATATATGTATGAGAGAGACAGAGAAAATGAGTTACACAGTTGGAGTAAATGAAGAGATAAAAAGAAGATTCAAGTGGGTGGCAAGGCATCAATGTCATTTGCTTGCCCTTCCTCTACTTTCTCCCAACAGGAGAATATTTGTTAAATCCATAGGTTATTTGCTCTTTTGAGTTGTTTATATGCTCTTGTAAAAATGTATGCTTTTTAAAAAATTGGATTTCTCTAGATAAAAATAAGATGCCTTAATTGCTTTTGATTCATGTATAGCCTTAATTTGTAGATTTTCTGTCTGTATTGTTGAGGCAGTAGAGAGAGGAGCCAGTTGGGAGAGGATTCTCCCACCCCCTGGCTGGAGTCATATGAGAGAGGTTCTTGCGGGTTCTGATTTTATTAATAACTCTTATAAGCTCCTCAATAACAGAGAAAACCTAAAGGACCATTAGCCTTGGCAAGGCTATGAGTCATGAATAAGTAGACTTAGGTGGCTTAAGAAAGCCTGAGACGAATCATCCTTTCCTAAGCATTTCCAAGGTATCTCTCAGCTCCTGAGTGGAGCGTAGAGAAGACAGAGGGAAGATCAAGTGCTGAAGGCAAAGTTTAGGAAAGAGTAAGTATATCCTCATTCCAAGGATGAGTGTCATCCAGGAAGGAGTAGTGACTCACTTGCCAGGAAGTTTATCTGCCTAATCACATAGATACGCGTCTATACACAATGTACATCCTCATATATACATATATGTAAAGATACATACATGCAATTGTATCTATGTATGTGTTAGTTACATAGTGGAGGTGAGGGATTACTGTTGGGCAGTCCACACTGATAATCATGAATACCAAAAAATGAAAGGAAGGCTAAGGGGATATTTTGGACAGTGTTTAGGGGGTCTTGAATTTAAATATGCCAATCACTGGTACTGAGTAGGTTAAGGAAAGATCATATCTCTCTGAGATGCATACACATAGTGAATATATGTCAAGCTGATCATTTAAAAGTAGTGTATATTTCAGTGAACAATATTAAGGAAGTAGTATTGAGATTAGAGCAACAGTTGTTGTTATTGTGAGGAACAATACAGATTTTCTTTTGGCAGGGGAGGTGAGTGGAGGTACATATTGAGTCTTCTTTTTAATCTGCATAGAAAAAAACTCATTCCAAATTTGAGGTAGGTGGTATCTCTTCCACTATGAGTGACTAAAGTACCTGATGAAAGTATCTGGACAAAGATACAGGGTACAAAGCAATAAACTTACATAAGTGTACCAGGCATATAGTAGATACTCATTAACTGCTGGATTAAATTGAAATCCAAATGCAGCAATTAAAGATCATCAAGCTAAATAATAAATTATAGCTGCACTGGGCAAAAATTCACCACTGAGGGAAAAACATCCATCAATAGCTCCTTCTGAGAGTGAAATACTCTGTGATGGTGACTAGGACATTCTACATTCTCCTTTTCCTTTGGAAATAAAAGAGAAAGGGAAACATCAAGGTTTTTGATCTCATCAAGTCAACTTGCTCCAAAGTTATCAGTGACCTCTTAACTGCCATATTCAATGACCTTTTCTAAGTCCTCACCTTTCTTGACCTCTATACAGAATTAGTGCAGTGGATAGGGTTGCTGGGCCTGGAGTCAGGGAGACTCATCTTTGTGAGTTCAAATCTGGCTTCAGGTATTTACTAGTTGTAAGTATTGGGCAAGTCACCTAATCCTGTTGGTCTCAGCTTCCTCATCTGTAAAATGAGCTGGAGAAGGACATGACAAACCCTTCCAGTGTCTTTGCCAAGAAATGAGGTGTCATGAGGAGTTAGACATGCCTGAACAACAACAATAATTACAGGATTAGACACTGTTGCCTATCATCTTCCTTGGGATACTCTCTCCTCGGTTCTCATGACACTGCTGTTCTCTGTTGGTTCTCCTTCTACTAGTATGACCACTCCTTTTCTATCTCCTTTGCTAGATCGTCATGCATATTCTTCCCCCTAAATGAATGTATGTACCCCAAGACCCTATCCAAGAACCTCTTCTCTCTCCCTAATCTCTCTCTCTTCACTAGTTCTCACGATTTCAGCAATCATTGCACATAGATCTATGTAACCAGCCCCCATCTATCCCTTGACTTCTGGTCTTGCATCACCAACTATCTATCGAACATTTCCAACTAAATGCCCTGTAGGCCTCCCAAACTCAATATAGCCACAAATTTCATTCTAAGCCCACTACCTCTCTTCTGAATTTCCCTCTTTCTGTTTAGGGCACTACCATCCTTCCACTCACTCAGAATCATTCTTAACCTTACTTTTCCTCACCCCACATGACCAATTGGTTGTAAGATCTAGTTGAATCTATCTCAACCACATTTCTTACACCTGTCCCTTTCTCTTCAGTCACACCTAGTTAGGACATCATAATTTCTCACCTGGACTTTTCCAATAGCCTTCTAACTGGTCTTCTTCCCACAAGTCTCTTCCCTCTTCATTCTTATTGGCAATGTGATATTCTTAAAGAACAAGTCTGAGCACATCACTCTTTGGCTCAATAAACTTCAGAGACTTCCTAGAATCAAGTACAAACTCCTCTTTTTGTCATTTAGACAGCTACTTTTTCCAGGCATGGAATACATTACTTCTCTTCACATACTCTATGGCATAGCTAAACTGGCCCTCCAGATGTTTCTCACTCATAACATTCCATTTCCCATCTCAATGCCTTTAGGCTGTACACCTAGGAGGTATTCCCTCATCACCTCTGACTCTTAGAATCCCAGATCAAATGCCACTTTCTATAAGAAGTGTCTCTTCAGATCCCCATCTCCTTGGTTTTGTTCAATCATTTCAATCTTATCTGCCTCTTCAAGAGACCCCATTGGGGTTTTCTTGGTAAAGATACCAGTGTGGTATTGCCATTTCCTTCTCTAGCTCATTTTGCAGATAAGGAAACAGAGGCAAACAGAGTTAAGTGACTTGCCTAGGGTTACACACCAAGTGTCTGAGGACGGATTTGAACTCAGGTCTTCCTGACTCAAGGCCTAGCATTCTATCCACTGTGCCACTTAGCATCCTAACCAAAAGTGCTTTGTATGCCTCTTATATATGTACTTATCTTTATATGTATTTATGTATATTGTCTCCTTGGATAACATGTGAGATTCCTGAAGGCAGATACTGTTTCATTTTCTTCTCTTTTTTTTTTCTTTTTTGCAATCAGAGTTAAGTGACTTGCCCAGGGTCATACAGCTAGTAAGTGTCGTGTGTCTGAGGCTGGATTTGAACTCAGGTCCTCCTGACTCCAAGGCCGGAGCTCTATCCACTGCGCCATCTAGCTTCTTCTTTTTTTGGGTAGCCTTATCACCTAGCCTAGTGCCTGGTACATAGAGGGTATTTACTAAATACATATTGGTTGGTGGTTAGGTGTTCAGATCTGGTTATTTTCTTTAGATTTTTGTTTCTCACTATCTTCCAAGAAAAGATGTATACTTCAATACATCTTATTTCAAAAGAACCAGAGAACCATGATTTCATCAGTATGGTACTCCATCTACATATGCAGAACAAAATTCCTTCTTGCCTCATGAGTTGCTATGGCCAAAAATATCATTACCTCATGACCAACAATCTTATGAATAGCCTTCCCAAATTTAGTGACACTGATATTCATTTTAAGCTGATAGATAGTTCATCATCTCTAGCTAGGTATTATTGTGGGACTTTCACAGAAGTTTCAAAGAAATAGAAAGACTATAACTAATAAACATAGTCAGAAATGTTATGAGGGAGTGGGCAAAAATTCCTAGCAGTGGCATTACAAAATACCATTATCCAGTACGTACAAATGGCAGTCTTGCTGATGTGGTTACCTTTTTCCCCCAAGAGAGCAAGGCTGTGTGTTCTCTTGATTTATCAATTATGTATTAATTAACTTTCAGAATGGACAAATCTCCCAGGTGAGTATATTCTACAGTTCCACTGAATTTGATGACATTTTTCTAGTACTGAGCAATTAATCTTTTGGCAATGACGTTAGATTTAAGGTCAAATCATTTGTGTGATTTACCCAATGTCCAGAAGGTCTTTGAGATCAGTAGCCACAGGAAATCAGGGAAACAAGACTGTTGCCGTAAAAGACCAGATGTGAGCTGCTCAGTACTCTCTAGTAAGGGGCTAGTCCTAGACCTAGATGCCATTACATTAGGGGTCATGATTCTTAAACTTTGATGATAACTATGGCAAATTTCACC